GTGTAACTCAGTGTAGTGACAGTGTAACCTAGTGTAGTGACAGTGTAACTCAGTGTTGTGATGGTGTAACTCAGTGTTGGGACAGTTAACTCAGTGTTGTGACAGTGTAACACAGTGTAGTGACGGTGTAACTCAGTGTTGTGACGGTGTAACTCAGTGTTGTGACAGTGTAACACAGTGTTGTGACGGTGTAACACAGTGTAGTGACGGTGTAACTCAGTGTTGTGACGGAGTAACTCAGTGTAGTGACAGTGTAACCTAGTGTAGTGACAGTGTAACTCAGTGTTGTGACAGTGTAACACAGTGTAGTGACGGTGTAACTCAGTGTTGTGACAGTGTAACACAGTGTAGTGACGGTGTAACTCAGTGTTGTGACGGTGTAACACAGTGTAGTGACGGTGTAACTCAGTGTTGTGACGGAGTAACTCAGTGTAGTGACAGTGTAACTCAGTGTAGTGACAGTGTAACTCAGTGTTGTGACAGTGTAACTCAGTGTTGTGACGGTGTAACACAGTGTAGTGACGGTGTAACTCAGTGTTGTGACAGTGTAACTCAGTGTTGTGATGGTGTAACTCAGTGTTGGGACAGTTAACTCAGTGTTGTGACAGTGTAAACTTTATAAAGCGTATGTAGGGGGCGATATAGGGCAGATCTGGGGTAACTGGGACTTGTACTTACCCTCAGTTCTGGTAACACGTCAGTGAAAAACCATGTGTTCTGCTTCTCCATTTGCTGTGACCTAATGATTCTAGAGTTTCAAAGGTGTGTGTGTGTGTGTGTGTGTGTTTATTTGTATACTTGCAGCACAGAGTGAGGTCAACTATTTACCCACCACCCACTGCTGCTCCCCTCGGGGAGTCTTTGATGCCACAGCAGAGGGTGAGGAACATTCACCCCCAGACAGTTCTAATCACAGCCGGGTTTCAAACCCAGTTTCTGAACGTTTTCCATCAAGTTTTTGTAGTTCACCTCTGACCTTTTGGTTTGTTTCATTTTCCTGATGGAAAAAAAAAAATCTCTATGACTTCACACTGTCCAGGCCACAGAGCGCACACGTTAGACACGGCGTCTAAAGTAAGGTTAGCCCGGAGGCTAGGACCATGTTCTTTAACCTCACACCAGAGCTAACGTTAGCTACGACAGTCCTGGTACAGACACCAGCCTCAAAGCCTCAAATCAGGATTGACCTTTTTTCCAATTGTGTGTCACTGATGTGGAGTTAGCGTTGACGTCTCCACCATCTTCTTCCACTAAGATCATCCCAGGTCTGCGTTTTATGTTTCCCTGCGTGAGCGCTGACATCCGTCAGAGGAGTGGCTCCTGGAAACATCTGTGCCCTGATTACTGACGGCCCCTCTCTCCTCCCCCTCGTCTCAGGACCCACATTCCACCCATTCTTACTGCCAGAGTCCACAGTCAAGTCAGAGGCCCCCCGGGGGCCCCCTGGGCCCCCGCCGGCCCCCCCAGCACCCCCCCCCGCATTGGTACCAGACTCTGACTTGATGAGTACAAGTTAAAGGGCAACTTGTTGATTTGCTCAGTAAAACCACGGCCCTACTGGGGGTGAGTTTGAGGGTGTGATCACGTGTCAGACCACAGACCGGAGGTTGATCATTGGTCCTTGGTTTGTGCTCAGACCAGGCCAATAGCAAACGTCGTTGTGTTCAACAGTGTAGCGGTTAGCACGTGCTCGGTTGTTAATCTTTGGATAAAATGTCAGCTGAATGGGTGAATGAAACAGATGTCTGAATGTCTAAGGTCACTGGAACACTGGGTCACTGGTTTGTTTTTTGACATTGATGTCTGAAAAAAAAACAACAACCAGGAACAGACGTCTGAGACTGGCTACTGGCTACTGGTTACTGCAGAGGTTACTAAAGCAGAACTACAGTTGTTCAAAGTAGGAACTGCTGATTTACTGATGATGTAAATATTTATCAGACACTAGATGGCAGTAATCAAGCTCATAAGATTCAAACTTGCTGTTGAAGCCCCAAAAGTAAAAGGACTAGGGCAATGGTGGTTAGCCAGAGTTAGCTTAGCATAGGCTAGGCTAGTTGAATAACTGACCGACTGATGTGTCTTGTTTGTCTGTAGCCTTTGTTGTAGGTTTGGATTCATTCACTTCAATAACATTTTAGCAGTGAAGTCATGGATGGTGTTTTCAAATGCGACCTTCGCTCCACTGTGAAGTGCAGCTCGTTGACAAACACAGGACAGAATACTATGATAATTACACACAAGTACATACTGCCGTCTTTAATCCTTCCACTGCAGAGTAAACAGTACGAGGACGAAGCCTCGGCCGTCGTTCACCTCCCCCACGTGGACCAGAGGAAACGTTTGTGGTTAGACCCCAGGAAAGCAATGCATATAGTCACCGTTTGTCAGGAAGTGATGTAAAAATCTGTGAAAACTATCGGTGACTACGAGGTACTGGACCAAGCACAAACACCGTGGCCAACCCGTGGCTCGGGAGCCGCGTGTGGCTCTTTGCTTAGTTTCATGCGGTTCTTACGTTCATGTCAAATTTTGTGTTTGTGGGTTTTTTTTGTTAGCGAATCTCATGTGGATAGGTGTTGGTACAAATGACCACTGAGTGGTGCTGTAGGCCCAACCAAACATGAAGATAGAAGAAGATCATC